ATAAGGAGAGCACATGTTGGTGTAAGACTAAAAGGACAAAATCCGCTGAATATTTAGTGGAGTTATTACAAAAAAATAAACAAATAAGATATTAAATCTGTACAATTCACATTATCAATTTAAATTAGGATTGAATGTGCTGGGCTGAATGTAAAAAGGGTGAAAAAACAAGTAAAGCATTTACATCCAAGTGAAGCAGCAGGCAGCAGTTAATGAAAGTGGCCTAATGTGCAGCTTCCTAACTGAACAGGTCCCCTATTCCTGTTCAGTTCCCTTTCCATGTTTTCATATTGATTTAGCTCAAAATAAATAGTTTTTAAAGTTATTAATGGATTTTAAACTCTTATAGCAACCTTTAGATCTGTAGTACTAGTGCGTGTCTGGTTTGCTGATGTCAGCCCTGTTTTTCTCTCTGCGTGCATAAATAACAATAAGCTGAGTGGTTTGACACTTTGCCCAGATCAATATCAATAAAGCAATCTGCGTGTCAGGGTCCCTTATGTTTTAAATAGGGATCTGTGGGAGAGGATTAGCGGGTTTATGGCTTTACACTGCGAGGTGCGGCTGTTGATCGCAAGTAAACCCTCACAGATGGAAAAACAAAAAAAACATCTATATTAGATTCATTATTACAGAGGAGGACCATACACTGATAAAAACCCATTTGATCACATCATCTTAGAAGGTAGAAACCCACTGCTGTCAGTCTGGTCAGTTTTAACTCTGAACTGACCACATTTTCCAGAGGAAGGGTTCCAAAAGCAGGCCTATAGAACAAACCCTTAGAGCTCTCCCTTGTTTTCTGGTACTCGAAGAGTTTGTCCAGACAGGCAGAGTGCACTTTGCTCTCAGCCTGATCATAAACGGAACAGAGACAATAAATTCAACCAGACTTCTGAACTGGACAACATGCAAGAGAAAGGAGAGGCTGGGAGGGTGGTTGGGTGGGGGGGACCTTCAGACTTTCAGGAATCAATTCTTCCAACGAGGCAGAAAAAAAAGAAAGGCCCAGGGTGGCCAAAAGGCAGGCAGCTTTAAAGAACTCAAACTCCTCCCTCCTGATCCGTGCGGTCAGACCAAATCATGGAGGAATTGATTTTTGCACCTCTGTGTTCTGGAAAAACACTGCCATCATAAATATGAAGTTTACAACAGAAACTGTGCTTGGGATCAAAATTCCTCTCTCACAAGGGAACTTATTAATCAATATGTAGGAAACTCTTTGGGAAGATGCAATCTGCAGGAAGTTACTTTAAATCTTCCTCTGACCTCATACAGATTTCTCATCTGTTCCAAAAGAAACTAATCTGTAACTACAACCTGTTCTCTTTATTTATTTTTTAAAAACAAGCATTGAATACTTTCAAAGACAGCCTGTTTCCTTTAAATGAAGCCCATGGTAGCTATTAGATTAAATAAAGGGAGCAAATTCTCCTATATTTCCCACACCAGTGAACATTTATTTAAAGCAGCAGGGTGAGCCTTCTTCAGACTTAGTTTGCTGCCACCTAGTGATGAGCTCTGAGCACTGCAACTTAACCCTCATACAATATCATGGGGACTGATTTATAGGATAAAATAAACACACCCACTGCATTGCCAGTCAAAGGTTTACATACATTCATAATGGATATGAACAGATTTGTTTTTTAAGAGTTATTTTATTGGGAAACAAACACATTCAGGGATTCTTTTATATAAATCCACAATGTGAATTTATTGGGAGTAATCCCGAATTTATAGAGGATCAAATACAGACATAAACATGGAAATGCCACCCACTTCTAGAGCTAAATGCAAATGTTTCTCATTTTATATGTTTTTTGAACTCTTGATATTGAAACAGGTTTTTAATACATAGTCCAGACAGTTGGAACCTCTCTGGATGCCTCAGCTTATTGAGCTCCCAATGCAATTCATTGTAATGTTGGAGCACATTTTGGTCGACAACAAAAGCCACTATTGATCCAAATTTGATTTTCACCATAAAGCCCATTTATTATAGCCTACATCAAATTTCTCTAAAGGTTTCTTGCCAATAATTGTTTTAAATGGGGTGTCTAAATGCCTGTGACCTTGACAAGTGGCAGTAAACTACACCACTTACCATGTCTTACAGCCGGTGGTGTTAATTAGCTTACTTCACTGAGGAACCATAAATATGTGTTCAAGATCTTTCAGCTTAGATCAGTCTGATCAATTTATATTTTATAAAAGTGGCCAAGTTTTCAGAGGAGTAAAAAGAGGGTGTTTTAAATGGGCAAAACTCTCAAAGACATAAACCAAGGTTCTGGAGTAATAAAATGAGTTAAAGTTAGGTTTTTGAAATGGTACACTCATCAAAGCTGCAGAAATGTTATAGGCTATATCAACAAGCTTTGTCGATGGAAAGGAAACAACCGGTCTGAAAGTGCTGAAAGCTATCATTTCTGATAAGAAGTGGTCAGATATCCAGCCAGAATTAGGCCAGGAAACTGTTAAAAAAAAAAAAACAGTGTGTTGGGTTTCTATCAAACATGCTGCAAGGCATTTATCCAAATGTTAATGGGTTATCTGCAAATCCTTCAACCCATCTCCATAACTTTGACCTTGTGTGGATTAGAAAGACTCAAGTTATTTTTGCTAGAAACTCATTCAAGTTGTATGGTCCTTAGCCATTTCCCCAGGAAAAAAAAAAAAAAGAAATGCTTCGGTAAATTATAAAAATCCCCCAACCCGACACATCATCAACCCAAGTAATGAACAAATGAGGGGTTAATCTCTTTGCTCTGCAGCATGCAGACCCCAACAACAGATGGCTTCCCAGGGATCACAGTACAGACCTGAGGTAGGTCACCTTCCTGACTGTCATCGTCCACTCTGCTCTCCAGGGGCTCCATTCATCTCTATGTGTCGCTCAGTGAAGCCTGCAGAGCTGAGCCACCCTCCCTCCAACTTAAGGGGGGGAGGGGGGCAGCGAGAGGAATATCCGGCCTCCTCCTAGTGTGGGAGTAAAGGCCCCTGCTGTCTAGTCAGCAAACATTGGAGCTCTGGAGCAGCTGAAACCGCTGGGAGAAGTGGTCAGGGATGCTCCTCAGGATCAGGACAGGAGTCGAGATAGCAGCGTCTCCGGCACCCTGACACTCAGCCAGCATAGCAGCATGAGCCTGCAGACTGTCAGAGGAGCTGCCTGGTCAATCAACCACCTGACTGACCTCTCTACTGTTTTTACACATCTGATGAGAACAAACATACTGAAATGTTTTTGTTACACTACCAAACTTTATTTAGCACTTTAGTTTTTTCCTGAGGTCTGTAGACAAGTTTTGGAAAGTGGCTGCAGGGGTTTAATCCATTATACTTTATTACTAAGCTCATTAGGGAACGCCAGCAAAACATGTTGGGTTCAGGGGTTCGCCTTATATGGCTTTGATGTGCAGAGATTAACTGTGGGTCATTTGTAAGAAACATTTTTACTGGGTGATTCAAAAATCATCAGTTTTTATTGAGAAGGAAAAAATCATTTTGTATAAATAAAATTGGAAATTTTGCATAAATAAAATTGTTTTGTCAAAGTTTGGTCATTTGTTGACCAGGATGAGCCTAAACTGATCAAAAGTTACAAATAAAACCTAGAAACTGAACTCATTCAAAAGCACTGCTTGTTTTGGGGGCTCAAATGGAGCCTAAGTTCTATAGAGTGACAAGGCAGGAAACACATAAGGATGAGAATTAAGGAATAAACAAAAGGAAGGACATGAGGATGGAGGAGACAAGGAAAGACAAAAAGTAGGATGGAAGGAATACATAAAAGAAAGTATTGAAAGGGGAGGAAGGGATATAAGATAAAAGGAAGGATAGAATGTAGCACAAAATACAGGAAAAGAAGGAAAAATAGAAATGGAAGAAAAGGGTAGGAAAAGGAAGGAATGAGGTAGGAGGGAAGAAGCAAAGATTTAACCTTTAAAAAATAAGGTAAAGAAATATTTCATTTTTTCCCCATGCAGCCTGTAATATTTGGGGGTCACACACTGCAGCAGTAGTTTGCACTGTTTCCTTGCAGCAAAAGAGACCCCAGTTTTAACCCTAGCCTAGGCTCGTTCTGCATGGAGCTGACATGTTCCCCCTGCGTGTGCATGACTCCTGTGTTCTCTGGCTTCCTCACACGGTTAAAACATGACTGGGTGGTTATTTGGCCTCTCTGACATTACCTTTAGGCACAAGTGTGTCTGTGTCACTGGCGACCTTAATTCTTGCCCAAAAAGTGCTGGAGATATCCACCAGCATACCTGCAAAAACAAACAGGTATTAACAATATAGATCTCTATATACAAATAAGACAGAATTTAATGCTGTATATATACGCGTGATCTAATGTATTTTATCTGTTCCTCTATAGATAATGCCTTTGCTGAAACCCTGCAAGTCCTGCCAGGTCTGCAGGGTTTGAACAGGAGGTGTAAGCTTAAATCATTGTTACATGGATTTGACATGGTGTAACAAGTTGTCATTTCGCTCTACAGCATGTTCTGAGAAAAGGGGAGTATAATAACATTGCGCTTCAAGCAGCTGCACATCGCTGCTTCCTCCAAAGATGAGCCCACACCTTTCCTCGTTATGAATGAAGCAGTCAATGAGCTGCAACAGAAATTACCTTTGCTTGTAATTCTGCGAGGTGTCTTGTCATCCAGTTAACAAAGAAAGATGTTTTTTCTCTCCCCCCCTCACATCCAGTTGGGTGTTTTCCTGCTCTCTCTCTCTCTCTCTGAGGAGCATAGCTGAGCTATCACACGCTGGTGCCAAGTCATCATTAGGTGTCAGTGTTTTCAATTACCCCACACCTCTCCTCCCCGCTGCCACGTCTCCTCTGTGGGCTAGACACAGCACAGCAGGAGAAAAGCAACAAATGCTAATTTTCTTGCTGACATCTGAGCTCAACTTGGAAAAGCAAAACAAAACGAGAGTTGATAAACGCTGCAGCAGCGGTGGGAGACGGGGAACAAACTGCACTTTTAATATGGCATGGTTCGTTTAGGTCTTTATTTCTGTAATATGGTTGTTTTGAAAGCACTTGATCGCAATACAAACTGAATGTTTCTTTCCAGAGGTACAAGTCGTACTGCATATGTCAAACATTCATGCCAAAGATAAAACTACTGATACATATTTAACAGGACAGATTGAAAATAAATTTCAAATGTTTTTATTACACCTTTATGATGACAATACTATAATAAAGCGTATTAGTACTATAGCTTAAATTTTCATAATAGTCAAAGAAATCCAAACTGTTTTCAATGTTTGCTTTGAGTCCTAACAAAAGAAAACACTTTCTGTGGTTGCAATTATTCCACATATTAAAGGGGAGCCAGATAGCAGACTCTCCATTTGGATAAACTCTACTCTTACCACAAAGTTCAGACTCCAAATTAAAACACCATGGAAAAGTCGCTTCACACCTTTAACACAAAGGTATTTTATTTTCGTATGATGCAAATGAACTGACATAGACCTACCTCAAAATAAAAAACAAAAAAAATAACATACTGATAACTGCTACAAAGCTATTGTCAACAAAAGTACATCGCACATGTAAAAACGCATTTCAAAGCAGAATGACTGAGACTTTGAGGCTACATAGTCGGAAGGCAGTGACACCTAGAAATCCTAACGTTAGGGCAATAATACAAAATAAATTATTCTACACTTTCTCATAAATTGTTCTCTCTATGCTCAATAAATGTTGATTCCAAGAAAAGGGAAAGCACTTAAATAAACCTTTCAAAAAATTTCATGTGAGATCGAGAACACCTCCTCCCTACGCATACAGCAGCATCTCATTTGATTACAATATTCATAAAAAAAGCTTTCATTCCAGCAATTCAATCTCAACAGTGAAACTTATCCTTTTTATATTCATTACACTCAAACCGATATATCTGAAGTGGTAATTTCTATTATGTTCAATGATTATGGCTTATAGCTAATGGAAACCCATTAAGTTTCTCAGAAGATATGAATATTTCGTATTAAACACAGACATTTTACCGTCTAGTGTCACGTTGGAGGTTTCTAACTTGACTGGAGCTCAGCAGAGTTATTAAGATCCTGAAAAGAAAGGGAAACGCACTAATACTCACGGTTAAAGTAGGTGACTGTTAACAGAATGCTTTTTCTGAGAATATCAATGGAAAGTTAAATGGATGAAAAAAAATGTTGCAGAGGTTGTTAAAAATGTAAACACCAGATCGAGAAAAAAAAAAGATGGCAGAACTGTTATTCTTTGTCCATTCAGTAATGGGGACGACTGCTGACTTGATGCTTGTCCAGCAGATAGTCAAGGACACCTTCCTATTTAAGGGTAAGCAAAAAACAAAACAAAAAAACTTCAGTTTTTAAGAAGCAGAAACTCCATGAACTATGGAGTTTTGTCAACAAGTAGTAGGGAGACAGCAAACCCAACCTAACAGAAGCTGTTAAAGCAACTAAAGCTCCTTTCACTCATGCAGAAGGAGCCCGGACCATAAACTGTACTGAACCTTATCATCCTTCTCAGTTGGCTTTAAAATAATTCCCCTTTTTGTTGCACTTGTTTAACTTTGAGAGAAACAAAATATTTGGTTTCGATTTGCTATTAGCCATCGAAATGAAACAAAATTAGCATATAAAGATGTATCGCTCTGTGTGTCAATAAACATAAATAAAACAGGTTTGACTTTTTTTTTTCTTAAATTTACTTAAATAAATTTACTTGTCAAAGTTCTAATGTATTGAGATGCAATAAAGACTTCTTGTGAAGATGGCACAGATTGGATGAAGGGTAGATAGCAGTGCTCGCTAAAACTTCAACAGCTAAGTAGAGTTATGTCAGGGTCCTTTGTACGCCAGAAATGTTTTCGTCATATTTGCGTGCAAAAAGGTTACAACACAGGCTGCTCACAGGACTGAAAGCTGAACAAGTTGGCGTGTTTAAGTCCATGAACCACAACTCCAAAAAAGTGCTTTGCAACACTGTGATGGTTGCAGCATGGTAAACAGACATCAGGATGTGATGTGCTACCTGTAGGCAATCAGATTAAAGTGTCCATGTTCTGTCATGGAGCTGAAGCAGACCTAACCAGTCAGTTTTTCAGCGTTTCTAGTGCAAAACTGCCAACCATTTGGTCTCCTGCTTGGAGGACAGTCAGGATAGAAAGCATCAAATAAATCAGGAAAACTCCCCGAACTTCGAAATACAACACCTTGTCTGAAACTTTTCATACTGTAATGAAAAATCAAGTTCACATCTGGAACTTCTGATGCCAATACATTTGCATATGGGTTTTAAAAATACAGTGATGGCAAATGTCACCGGCTGTAAAAACATGCATGAGAACTTTACAACAACAGAAAACAAAACGATAATAAACAGACCTCCCTTTGTCAACGCCTCTGGATAAATCCAGAGGAAGACTAAGCTGAATCTGAACCTCAGTCTTTAGAAAAAAAAAAAGAAAAAAACAACGAAAAAAAAACGATAGGTTTGTGAGTTAAAGTTTAAGAAAGAAAAAAACGATTCCTGCAGAATAAGCATCTGTCTGACTGCTCTAGAAACAAAAAGACGGTAACAGCAAAAAAAAACATATGGGTTTGTAACAGAAGCTCCATCTGATATGACAGAGCATTTGTAGTGTAATGTTAAGACGTGGCTGGCTGACTCCACAGCAGCTGGTGTGGATGTGGCGTTTGTGGGAGTTGTTCGCGGGTGAGTGTCTAAGGAGAGGGCAGGGCCTAGTAAAGGAGGATCCGGCGCTCGATGGCTTTGCGGCAGATGGGACACTCGCTCATTCGGTCTCCACACAACTGGCAGGTGCCATGGCCACACATGAAGATCATGTTCTTCAGTCGGTCCAGGCACACCGGACACATGGTCTGAAGGAAGAAGTAAAGCATGTTTTAGTTTATGTTTCAAGGATAAGTTAAGTTTATATCATACTAGTATTAATACTAGGGCTGGGTGTTTTTAGGAACCTCGCAATTCAATTCGATTTCGATTATTGCTGTTGCGATTCGGTCCGATCCGATGCAATTCGATTAGATTCGATTCAATGCTGATTTTTGAAGCCGTGTGAGTCCAGGAGTTTTAAGTGCAGCCCGGGATGCCAAGTTGTGCACATGGGCAAAGCAGCCAACATGTAATAGTGATAACAGTGATATCGACAGCAACTAGCATACTGGCAGCATTATCTGTAACAACAGCAGCTACTTTTCCGGTTATGCCCCATTAGCTTATTGCCTCCATCAACATGCTCCCTGTGTGACTTCCGTGAAGCGACTTGGTCTGAAGCACATTTGAAACTAATTCCCACTCATTTCATATGAAATGAGAAGTGATGGTTATGTAGGGGTCAGTCGCTCTCAAAGTCCAGCCATCGCACGTCAGCGCGACTCTTTCAGCAGCCTTTAGCGACTCCAACACAGCCGTCTTCACCTCTGTGTACAGTGCCGACAGCGCCCCCAACCGTCAGGAGGTGAATCGATTCTGAGGGGCTCCCGCATCGATTATGAATTTTGCGTGTAATAAATGCGATGCATCGATTCTTCAATTATTTTACCCACCCCTAATTAATACTACATGCATTTACAGTGATGTTGCATCTAAAACTTTTTTTAAGACTTAGACAGGTTTCTTTCACCTAAAGATCAGAAAGATAGAATCAAATTAGATCAGATAGATGAAAAAGATAGAATAGAATTAGATCAGAATGATAGTATAGAATTAGATTAGATAGATACAATAGAATATAATTCAACATATATGGAGAAAAATAAAGTTCAAAATGTAAATCTTCTGTATAACCGGGGAAAAGACAAGCAAACATTTGACAGAACTCATAATATCCTCAAAAGTAACTACTGAGATTCCCACTAAGTTTTCATAAAAGCTGGACCAGAATTTGGTCTGTCCAATAACCTTTTTACAGGGAAGACAAAGATCAAAGGGCATGCATATTTTCAGGACTCCATACAGGGACTTCTAAAAATGAAATTTACAGCATCGTTTTCCTTTTTATTGCCAAGTTAATGATCCACACAATGTGTTGTTTTTTCCCGCTCTCACCTGTTCTTTGATGTCTTGAAGCTGTTGCTGTAGTTTCTGTACATCTGCGTTGACGTTGGTGTTATCTTTATCTCTCTGCAGGGCTGGGATGTTTCCGCTGGCTGTTTGGATATAAAATGGACACAAGCTCACTTTGAGTGGGAAAAATAAGATCCACGCCTAAACAAATGACTAAACAAATTAGGCTATTGACCACATCGGATTTTACTCTAACTATAAACCTTACTGTCAATTAAAATAAAACAACAAAAAAACAGCAGAAATATGGCTTCAGAGGCATTCCCGTTTTGACACAATCTTGGCAGTTAATTATATATGAAAGCTGGAGTTCTGTAAACAAGCAGGAAACACATGCGTTCTGGGTTTTTATCATTTGGCACAACACTTCTGGCTTAGTTTTCTGGCACACATTCTGACCACTTTACCTCAGTAATCCACAAACCTAAAAATCATAATATAAATCATCAGCTGGCACAACACAAATCAACATGCTGTGAATTTGTCAGCCTACAATTCATGATGTACTCCTGAAGTACGTACACAAAACATTCAATCAGCACATTTGGACGCTTTAGTGACAGCTGACATCCCAGAATCTACTGGAAACAGTGAACTCCAGACTGATATACATCACATGTCAATCATATGTTAAATGTCTGCATGAGTTTATGGAATCGTAACAGAGAGAGTAATGGTTATAGAGAACGGGAGATGGGCCAGGGCAGCACTGTTGGGGGGAGAGGGCTGTTTTAAAGCAAGGCTTTGATAGGGGAGGGGCTCGGGGAGGCATACTTACACCAACTTAGTGCCAGATTGTTGGGCTGGAGAAGATCCTGGGATCCCCCTGCCATAGTGTTAGAGCTCCCTGCTGGGAATAACCAGTCACATTGTTATAGCAGGGCTGCCCTCACCAGCTCAGCTGATTGGCCAGTGATCAATGCAACTGGCTACTATCAACTATAGCCTCTAAAGGAGACACAATTTGAAGAGGAAGCCAGAAAGTTGGAAGCAGTAATCAAAGGGAGAGAAATGGAAATTATGGTTCAAAGCAGCAGATGTATATAGATATTTTTTGCAATCAGCCAATGCTTATCACTCATTTAGAAGGCAATAAACAACCTAAGCAAATTAGAAGGGGGGAGTCCAATCAATGAAGGTAAAAGTCATTTTTAGGACAATGATCTGCTTTTACAGCAAATAGCAACAGGCAGTAATAATGTGTAAGCTATAAGCATCCAATGCTGCCCTTTGCATGAGTGTATGTGCGTTTAGGTCTGTGCAGCTCATCAAGGCTGCCGTTAAGACCAGCTGGAGAGATTAAAAAGGCAACAGTGGATGAGGATACAGTTGGTTTCCCTTTTATCTCAACAAAAAATGTGAAAAACAGGATACTAACAACCACTAGTGAGATGCACTGAAATAAATCCCTTGAGATGACAGAAAGCTCATTTAACAAATTAAGATCAAATAAAATTATCTGAAAAGAAATTGAATATAAAATTAAATGATTTTAGGACTAAAATATTTTTTTTTCATTTTATTCGGAAATTAACAAAAGGGATTCTTATGTTCACAAAAAGTTTTCATTAAAAAGCAAGCCGATATTTTACGGTTATAAACCTTACTCCGCCAGATGGATTTGCTCCGCATATCCACCTGGAAACTTTCGGTTGAAGTAATTTTGGGAAGGGGAGAAAATACTGGTTAGCTGATTGGACTATGTTGGTGATAGACGGGCCAAATAAACCAATCAGATCAACGAAGCATATGACGTACTAAAAGCCAGGCTACTCTTGCCGAAACCAGTCGGGAGAAGAGCAAAAACATCTTTTCCTCTGAGAAAAGCCTCCAGAGCAGTGTTTTGCTCTTCTTTCAGTGAAGAAATACTCTGTAATTCCGATAAAACTTGCTCGATAGCCACGCTAACGCTAGTTTCATCGGCTGAAGCCGCCATGTTCTTTAGACTGAACTGTCGCGCTTCTCGTAGCGTCACACCTCAACCCGCCTCAAAGCCAACGCTGATTGGACGTTTATTTGGTGAACGGCTCCAAATTTTTTTCTACGGAGAGTCTCCAGACTGATTAGCGAAATCTTGAAAGCTTGCGAGATCAGGATGGTCTCACGAGGCTATACGGTTATAAGAATACCTATTTTCATACACTGGAATGTCATTTTAATTCAAAATATTTCAAAGTAAACATGTAAATCAAAAAGGGCATGAATGTCAAATTTGTTTTAAACCCTAAATGATGCATTTGAAACATTTTCCTTCCAAAGTGGAATAAATAACAAGGTCACCTTTAAAAAAAAAAACTGGCTTATTCCACAGGTCCTAAAGCTCATTCTGTCAAAATAAACCATCCACATTGATTTGAGCTAACGTTGAAGAATTCTGAGATAATACTTTATCATCCAATCTGTTAAATTTGTACGGCTCAGAGCCCTAAGCATGATAAATCACGAGCATCATAAAAAAAAAATCTTCTTTAAAGAACCTTCAATTATCCGATTATTAATCAATAAATCGGAAAAAAAAATAAACGAAAGATTAATCGATTTGCAAAATAATCATTAGTTCCAGCCCTAGACTGGATTCTAAGCTGCTGAAATACAAGTCTCACTCCACATAGCACAGCCAGCATTTTTTAAATCACAATGGATGGAGAAGCTGCAAACTAATAGAGAAATCCTGGCAAAAACAATATATTTGGCTTAGTGGAGTCAAGGTCAGAATTTTTCACATAAGAAAACTTAATCGCCTTCAATGCATGATGGTAGCATCATCATCATATGGGTCTGTTTTATTGTAAGTATTCCTGATACACAGTTCAAATGAAATTTAATGGTGTCTAGACCAGACAATAACCCTAAAAAAAATCTTACAAGCTTACAAACTTTTTAAATAAAGAAAGAAACCTAAAACAATGCACTTCTGGAATGATCACATTGTCACTGAAACTTTATGGACCCTGATAAGGAAGCAAGCAAGAATAAAAACAGCGGTCAAATATCCATAAAGATTTCTGCCCAAGTGTTTATGACTACAAAAAGCAGAGGATTATTCATTCACTTTCCAAGGGATACCAAAACAAATATTCGCTTGCATTTAGATACCGTAATTTTGTAAATATAAGCCGCAACTTTCCCCCCCACTTTTTCAGCCTTGTGGCTTATATAACAATGCGGCCATTAGGACAATACCTAAATCTATGGATTTTAGCATCCATCATGTTGGCGTCACATTTGCTTCAACACACAAGTACGGTAGCCGCGTGTGTGGGAATGTGGAGATCCTCTACCGCGAGTGGTACAAGACAAAACGACAGCGAGAAAGACGGACATTGCGAGCGCAAGACAGTTTGTGTTAAACATAAAAAACCTGCGGCTTATAGTCCGGTGCGGCTTGTATATGTACAAATCATGCAATTTAGCTTCTGCGGCATATTTTCAGGTGCGGCTAATAGTCCGAAAATTACGGTATATATTTGAAACCTGTATGTATAATTTTTGACTCTAAAATACTCTATTGGTGAACTCAGTTTTATTTTATTTTTTTTATTTTATTATGGTTATACTTTTATCATCAGTTGACTTTAACGCTAGAATTAAAACAACACTCATGCTGAAGCTAAATGCACGCAGTTTTTTTTTAAAACAACAAAAACCCTGAAAATATTTTGTTTAGAAAATTATTTATTATTTTGGAGATTTAACATAAGGCAACAAAGGCCACCTGATATATTAAATAAGCATTTAGAGTGATTGCAGAGATAAAAACATGAAGATTTAACAGTGTTAGCCTAGAAAATAAGTCTAATTGATCTAAGTTTAGTGTCTTTTGCCACTACTGGAAATAAAATGAAAGCAAAGCTAATAAACGTAAAAGAGAAAGAAACTAGATGACTGATTTGAAAGAACTAAAAGTGAATTAGGAAACAAAGGAATGAGAAAGAAAGGAAATATAAAAATGGATGGATTAAAAGGGAACACTTTGAAAATTCACTCACTAAGGTCATCATCATCATCATCATCATCATCATCATGATCAGCGGCATCATCCTCCATACCTTTCCCTCCACAGCAGAGGACAAAGGGGGTGCGGCGTTCCACCACAGCCCGGCACTGTACGCACTTCTTCATGAGGCTGGCACAGTCTGCAGAAAACAGACATGTTCACATCTAAAGGTCGGAGCAAAGCCGCTGCAACCAGTAGCAAGATGGAGGCTATGACGTGATGATGCAAGAGGCGACTTACTCTCACAAGCGCACATGTGACCACAGGGCTGAAACAACACAGCTGCCTTTTTGTCAGAGCAGACTACGCACTCCTCAATCTGGAGAGGGATACAGAACGCACAACTTTTGTTAGCTTTAGCCATGTTTCTGTAGACACAGGTGGCTGGTAAACACAGGTGAAACATCAAAACTGAATTTGCTGTTGAGGAAAAAAAAAAAAAAACTTATGTGGTAGTTATATTGAAAATACACAAAAATATAACAGATAAAGATGACCGCTAAGGAATTTTATAGGTAATTAGAAGGTAAGTTGTAATTATATTTATGTGTAGTATGAATGATCAGTACTGTAAGTAATTAAATAAAGAAGCGTTATATCAATGCAACAATTGAAGAGAACTCCTATAAAACAATGCATAAAAATATCTTAAAGGTTATTAAAGATCACTGTTCTTTAAACAACATGGATACTTAGATTTTGGTCAGTCAATGCCCTAATAAAGCTTGCAAATAACAGGTTTTGTTTAACTGTTGACTGTGAAAAGTTTAACCATATTTGATGTTTTTTTTTTTTTTTTTTTTTTTTTTTAGTAAGTTAAAAAAAAATAATACTTGTGTGAAGACAGCATATTTAGAATTAACAACATGGAGTTTAATTTAATATCGATCTTAGAATTCTATACATGTCCATGTGTAAAACACAACTGGTCCAAAAATACAACCCTGCGGGACCCCGCATCGTGTAATAGTGCAATTAGATGTATATTCATCAATACAAAGTAGCCTGCTGAGTATTAACTACATTGTGTAAAATGTACTAGAGAGCATCGAAGGCTTTATATAAAAATTCATGAAGCATTTGCATTACTTATGGGTAGATTCATCTTATTAAACCAAGTAAAGCACAGTTATTTAATTTGAAATATGTATTTTAAAACTCTCACTGATATGTTCGATTCCTGCAGTTGTTACTTCATTAACTCCTGGACTAGAATCTCCAGAATGTTTAAGATTACCTTTGTTCTGGACTGAACCTGCTCCTTACAGATGAGACATTTCTTGACTCGTGGCGAGCAGAGCGAGCATGTTGCGATGTGTCCGCAGGGCCCAAACAGGGTGTCTCTCTTCATGTCTGAACAAACCATACACTCCTCCAGCGACTCAATGTTGCTATTCAGAGATGGGCTACGGGTGTCGACCTGGCCACTGGAACATTAAGAATAGAGCATTATTAATGTGGGAGTAATTACAGACATGACTGTGTTAGAAGTATCCAATTAGCAAAGTGTTTTATTTTTGCTACAAGTTAAGATAAAAGCAAAAGAAATTATTCCATTCGTTGTCTTATTAGGGTTACATGGTCAATAGGCATGAAAGATTCAGTCGATACTTTGAGTTTTCCTGCTTTTTCTTTACATTAAGTTCAGCCCACCCTCTCCTGGGTATAACACACATTTACCGTACAGACCAGAGTGATATTGATCTTCTTGTTGAGTTCTCAGCAAGAAAGCCGTTAAATGCATTTCCCCAAATGTCAACCAACTCCTGGGACACTTACCTGCTCTTCTCCTTGTGACATTTGGCCAAGGCCTTACAGAGGCTGGGGTCAGGACAGAGGTCCAGAGGGGACTGGCCCTTTTTGTTGCGAATGGTCAAGTCTGCTCCATTTGCTGCCAGGAAGCAGGCGATGGATGCTGCACTCTTCTTCTCTGCTCCCTGGGTGCCCAAGCCCATTATTAACTGCAAGGTATTGGACAGGAAGAGAAGAAAAAAGATAAAGTCTGAGACACATTCCAGAGGTGGGTAATACCTACTTACGCTTACTCAGTTACATTTATTTGAGTACTTGTCAACAAGACTGCACTTTTAGGTAACTTTGAGTAAATTTACGTCTTCCAAAACAAGCACATGTTGACCTAAAATTCAACACAGTATAAAAAAAAAATGTTTGTTTTAATGGTACTTTTATCTACTGATACTTCTAGAGGTCAAGGTAATATGTAGAAAAGATTTATATATTTTCACACTAGAGGTAGTTTAGCCTGTTCTATCATAAATACATTATGAAATGTTAGAAACTGTTCCATAGTTAGAATTATTTTGAGAACTGTTTCTTTTAGCCAAGTTCATTTTCCAGTTACTTTTTTTATTTGTATAAATGACCTTCATCTAGTCTTAAAAACAAAAGGAATTTTCATATTAGCTTAATTTATAGTTTATTAGATTACATCATTTTAAATAGTTATACTGTTATTCTGTACTTAAGAACCTTAAAATACTTTTTTTTTTAACTTGAATTATTTCTTGGCCAGCTACTTGTTTTGCTTTAATTCAAGTAGAAATATGTTGAAGTAGTGCTACTTTTACTTGAGTACAAATATTTGGTATTGCACCAACCTCGGATCAATTCTGCCAATTAGAGCTTTTAGTCAATCTTGTGCTAACGGATCAGGACTTATATCACGATATATCTTTTTTTTTTATCTCGACAAATTAAAAGCCTCAAAAAGACCACCAAAAAGTCCTCAATAGTTGCCTACACAAACTTAGGACCTTTTTTTTTTTCTTTTTTTTTTTACCAAGTTTATAAAGCTCCTTTTAACGTTTTATAACCATTTGCCTCAAAAAACAAACAGATAAAACAACATATATCCTTGTGACATCAGCTCATGATGAATGCTTTCATTATACATTTTTATATTAAAATTAGCGCTGGGTTATTAATTGCATTTGCAATATAATCTCAGTTTAAGAAAAAAACATTTTTAAATCTCAGAGGCACTCAATTTTACATTTACATTTAACAAGAGTAAAAGACTCCATTTCTCGCTCCGGCTCTTTGGGTGGTGCTAATATGCTTAAAGTGGGTTTACCCAAAGGGAACAGAGTTGAAGTCAACACGCAGATTCAAGTATACAAGTAGAAGTAAACACTTTTTCACATAAAGCAATGAAACATTTAGATCCTGCTGAGGACATTTGAAATAAAAAAAAATAAATCAATAAAAAAAACAATATTGGCTCAAAATGAGCCCAATTTTGATCTTTCTGTACAATTGTTCAGCCCCAATTAAAATAAATATTTTTTCAATAAAGGTGACATGACTCTTCTGGTATTTATATAAACCAGAACAGGCATATCATGTTTATTGGAAAAAATATTTTTCAACACACATTGATATTAATTTATTGTCCATAAGTTTTCAAATTTTTACAAACTGTAACAAAATTCTATGCATTATATTATAGTTCAATGGACGGATAAATAAAGAAGCACAAGGAAAATTGAAAGTAGAGGTTATATCTGTTATGTAAATAAAATCCAGTGCCACCAACAGACTGTGTACATGTACCGGTATTTTCCCTTCATTTGAGCCTTTAATTAAGATGACCTGCCAGTGGAATAAGTATTATTGCATTGTTTTATAATACATTTAAACAAAATGCACTTTAAACAAAAGTGTTTTTCCTTATTTTAAACATGCATAATTTTACTCCAATTGCTTACTTGTTGAAATCCAGGGAAAAAACTCATTTCAAGAAAAATGTATTTACTGCTAACTGAATTTTTCCAGCGTTAAACAAGCAGCATCATAAGGACCAAGAATAAAACAGAACATGTTCGATCAATCTTTGTTCAGAAAATGAAAACCTCAGGTCCTCCTTCAGCGAGGAGGCTCATGGTAACTGGTAGAGCTGCAGGGATTCAAAGCTCAGATACGATAACTGTTGACAGGAAAGCTATTCGTTTTTCACTCACGTAATCTAGCCAGAAGCTGCGGTAGAACGAGGTGCTCTGCTCAGATATGAGAATATTATAGGTTTTTGATGAACACGCATAAAAAGTCCTGCATGGTGGGAAACTAACAGTGCATCACTCTGTGGACACCATACCTAAGGTGAAGCATAGAGGTGGCAGTATTATGCTGTGCATCAAGTTATGCGATTGTAACAAATGTGAACAAATTCAGATTGTTGTTTTTTTTTTTTTGCAAAGCACTGTGCATATATTCTGGATTCCTATCTTATAGTAGAAATTAGGTTAATATATCTTAGCTAATCTGAGGAATAGAAGATGTCAGGCAGCATAACCATGTAAACCAGTTTAATCTCTGGTCCCTGCATAACTCACCCCCTTACTCCCAGGAATGAAGTACAGATGAACCCTTTCTCAACCAATTCCTACCGTCCATGTTTGATTCTCCTCAACCAGTAGCTTTTACATCTCTGCTGATGTAGCCATTGGGCCAGCTAATTCAATTCTCATCTTGAAGGGAGGGCAGGACTATGTGAGTGTGACCCAACTACACATTTCTCAAATTAGGCCCGCTGTCTGTCTGTTCTGCTCCCCTGAGGGAGAACCAGAGAGGGGAGAAAGAGGGGCTGAGAGAGAAGGCGGAAAAACAAGTGGGTGGGAGACGGAAGGTGACAGGTAAGGAAAAATCTGTCGCTGACTCAAGGCTTTAAAGTCTTCCCAGCAGCGATTAATGATGTACCGTTAACATGCAGAGGGCTTGAGTCTGACATGCCCTCTTTTGGCCTCTACAAAGGATTCATTTGGTCTGGTGGAGGCGAAGCAGAAAGCCAGCCAACTGCTGGATGCTTCCACTTGAATGATGGGCTGGTGCAGACTCAGCTGTCCATTGAAGTAGTGATGGAGACTGTGAGCTTTCTGACTAAACAGGAATCTGTCATCATCCCTCACAGCGAGCCACACACTGTGTTTTAGTCTAAGTTTGTGAACTGAGGGAAAACTGTGACAACGCTAAACAATCGTCCGGATGATAAATGCCAAAGACAATGACATGATGCTTCAGTGAGCTGCCTAATGGGAAAAGGCAGGTAGCAGGATATGAAAGGTAGGAATTTTATAGATGCAGCAAGACCAAAGATAAACGCACCACCTGTTTGTTTGCATGCATTTTTCTAATCATCTGTTTTGATGATAATGAGAAGCTGCATTCCTTTATTTCTACTAGTAACCTCGAGCTGCCACATTGACCTGTTTTTTGTTTTGTTTGAAAGTATCCTTAAAATAAAATCTTTTATCCTAATGTGTATAAATCTTTGCAGCCCTATATTGAATTAATTCATAATCCCAAATCTTTTCACACTTTTTCTCTTTAAAAGCAACAATTTTCATAAATTTTATTTGGACTTATCCTAACAAAAAATCAGTGCAGAACTATAGCACATGTTTTAAAATCTATGCTGAAAAGTGTGGCATGCGTTGGTATTTAAAGTTGGCGTTTCTTTTTGCTTCTCAGGTTTAAAATTCTTTACAACTTTCTCCCTGACCTGTCTGTCGTGTTCCTTGGTATTCATGATCCTGTTTACCCTCTAATTCTCTCCTAAAAAGAGAAAACTCTGAAGTCTTTACATAAAAGATTGACTTACAGAGATTCAATCAATCATAGATGGCCTCTGTTCACCAACCTTTTAAAGCAGAAATGTCGCTTTCAAACAGAATGTTAAGTAATGTCTCAATGCAACATCATTAAATGTTAAGAGGGAAAACTTTCTCAATGCACTCTAATACCTTTTCTTTTTATAAGCTTGTGATTAAAGGTTGGTTAAAATTGTATTCCTTAAAATCTTAAATGGGTGAAGCTCTATGATACGTCTAAAACAGTAAAGAGGAAAGGTAAAACTGGAACTGAATGTACCGTGTTCTTGGAGGGTTCCCACGGCTCCACTTTGCTGACATCCTGCATATCCTGGAGTTGTCGCAACTGGGACAGCGTGTGGTGACGCAGTGCCTCGTGAAGCGGCGTGTCCCCGTCCTTGTCCTGGACGTCGAGCTTAGCTTCTGCTCGCACCAGCAGCTATAAAAAGATAAAAGATGTAAACAACAAAACAAAAACTGGCAATTAGGCTGGAACTCAAGCAACAAGCATAGAACAACTTTTATTTTATGCTACAGTGCAAACACCATGAATCTGATTTATTGTGCCGCTCCACACAGTGAGCTTCTTCAGTTTTTACTAGCCTCTAATTATGGAGTGTACTTTTGTTTTGAGCCCACAAGATGGCAACGTGGCAGTCTTAATCCAACGCTACACCAGAACACATTTTCTCAAAGAGCATTCTCCTCAGCCTCTTTGAGGCAGGACATCCAACCGTGTAAATGAAACAGGGAGCTGCAATCATGCAGTTCTACTGCCTTTTGTGTTTAGGAGAGGGAAGGAGCAGATAAATCAAGACAGCAGTACCTTTTGGTAGTACAAGGAAGACATTTAAAGATCAGAAGAACAGAGAAGACCAGAATAAGAGATGAAATATAAACACTAACCCGAACTATCTGAGTGTGCTGGCGCTCCACTGCGAGGTGTAATGCTGTCTGCTGGTTAACATTCTGGATGTCTAAGCTGGCGTTGCCCTGGGATGTGGAAACAACAGAAGCATGTCAGTATAAAAACATCTGCTTATGTGGACATTCATCACCCAATGTGTACAAAAATCAGAAAACCATTAGAGCTATAAATAAATAGAAAGAAACGCAATTTCTCTTTCTGTCATGTAAAGAAATATAACTTCAGCAGGTAAAGGGGAAACAGCTGCTCAGGCTTTGTGTGCCTTGACAGCACCTTTTGTCCTCCTGACCGGCAGAGTATCAACCAGGTGAACGAGAGAAAAAGAGACCCAGCATCCTACAAATATAAACTGCTGCACAGGATTTTCATTTTCAACAGCAAACACGCCGTCTGTGGAGATGTGCAAGAAAGATAACTATTGTGATCAGACGGTGTGTAAAATCCCAACGTAATAAGACTGACTGACTGCCTGGCTGGGAATCTGCAGTGCACCTAGGAGCGTGGTGCAGTTTCTGAATAGAAAGCTGAGCCATCACTGCGAACAAGCCCATTGCAGGAACTTAGAGGCGGGGGGGGTCTGCCCCTGCTGAAAGGTAGATTGCACAGTGAACGCTAACGCATTGGGATGTTGCAGCAACATTTCTGCCTTGCACAATATCCTCGTTAACCCAGTTTTAGTCTTGATCAGGTGACTTTTCTGTAAACTCCTGTATGTGTCAGCCTTTAGGGAGCTAAACCTGCAATCCCTGAAGGGAAAAAAGGAAGAGCTTGAACTTATAATTGAGCAAGAAAGAGGATATGAGAGCGGAGCAGCACTAAAGGACACCCCTGGAGGCCGTGTGAACCTTATGGGTTCAATAAAAAGAAGGCAGTTAAAGAAGATTCAATCGGTCTACAGCTTGCCGGCTGCAGGGAGTGCAGTGAGGGCTGCTTTCTATAGTCTTTTGTTGGCTGAAGTTTAAGCTCGGTTGATGCAGGCTAGATTAATGCAGCAATGCAGCTTTATACCCATCCTAATCAGACATGGTTAGAAAAAAGGAGAGGTTTATTTTTCTTTTATTTGATAAAACCAATACAGTAGGTTTAGGGTTAAAAGTGTTTATTTTCTGCTTCTTTTAACAGATAATATGACAACACAAAAAAATGTCTGAACGCTAACAGAAATCAATTAAACAAATAAGCAGGCATGAAGGCTTCTTTTTAAAATGGGGTTACTACCTGGTGCACCAAGAGCTCAGCCACTTCCACATGGTTGTTTAGTGCGGCCAAATGCAGAGCGGTGTAACCGTCGTCCTTCTTCTCGTCTACGATCCACGGCCTCGGCAGTTTGGACAGCAGCACACGCATGGCACTGAGGAGCAAACACACAAATAGGACAGAGGTGAGAGCTGAGCTGTACGAACAGCTTCAATGCATATGAAAGAAGCGCTTTCTGCTGTGAGGTGCAAGTCTAGAAAGTCAGTACTAAAAATTATGTATCAGAAATTTCTCATTTACAATGTGCACAATGCCATGTAAGAGTATTAATTCCTGTCTCTATGCTGAGATTAGATTACTCAAAAGTCGCCCCCTATTTATTGACAAGATCACTTCTACGTAATTGGTTGAACATTTCAGGATAATATATAAAATAATACATATTGCCTTTGACAATGCATTCAAAACACTTATTTTCCCCATTTTGTCTCCATTTGATCGTTTTTGTTTTATTAATTTTTTTTTAAAACTTTACTTTTTAGTTTAGGTCCCAATTTGGATACATTTGAAAAGGTGATAGAGAGACCTACAGGGTAAAAGCAGAGGGCGATAATCTCTGAAAATTTAGTAATTTCCATTTATAACAGCAACCATAATCCAACATCTTTGTGAGAAACGTAGTACGCAGTGGACAGTAGCAGCCCGAAATATAAACTTTACAACATCCTAAGTCTAAAAAAGAAGAAGAAAAAAATAATATTAACAAATAAACATTGTCAACAATGACAATGATGAAATCATTTCGTTGACGCTAATTTTTTCATGACGATAATCCAATACCAAAAATAGCCAGAAGATGGCTAAAGTGCATCTATAGCTAGTGTGAATGAAGGCTGATGTATTTCGAAACCAGGTCGTCTGCGTACGTGTTGCAGTGAACGCAGAGACGTCCCCGCTCACTATGCAGACACTCTGCTGCACCTCTCCAAAATTGCAGGTGACAACAGAGAGTGCTGCCTCCACCAATCAGAGGCCTCTTATTGGTCAAATCTATATCCACTCTACTTTATCCTTATTTCCTTTTTGGTACCTTGCCGGCTTGTTTTGTTTGACTGCCATTGGGAAAAACGACAATGGCACTATTTACAAAACAACAACGCCACAACCTCTTGCGTTGTGGAGTGGAATTACATAGCATAGACCACGCTTCAAAACCACAAACAGCACCCGCCCTCTTCTTCTTCTGTTTGGCTAATACTGTTAGTTCCAGAACGCTCCTTTGCTACCATTGGCTGACAAATGCAAGAGGGATTTTGATTGTCTTTTTTAAAAATGTATTTTCTGTCAATTTATTTTGAAGTTATTTTTTTTACCCACAGGCAATCACTACGGGCCGGAATACTTCAACCCCTGCTTATATGTCTAAAACCATTCCTTTATTGTACATTTTGTTAGCTTATCTGTTATTTTGTTAGCTTAACCAATATGATGTGTTGAACTGGATCTGTTATTTTCACAACTATTGTGAGACACTTTTTCATAAAGCAGGGCAGTAATTTATAAAAAAGTTGACTTGAATTCTAGAAATCAAGGTTTTCTGTCCAACAGCAATGATTAACTGGACGGCAGCATTCTATACCCAGCAATTGTAGTATCTAGGCTAGTGCGGGCAGTCTGGTAAAGAACCTGGTTGTTACTCAAAATTGTAAAGGTTAACTTTTTTGCAACATAAAACTGACTAAAACCGACTAAAACTATGACATATCGCAATGACTAAAAATTCTAGTAAGACTAATAATAGTTTTCGTCCTGAAGACTATGACTAAATCTAAGATGGCTGTCAAAAACAAAAGTGCCCCCGCTGTATTTTTAAAGAAAAATTATGTGATCTATGGTGTCACAATTCAATACGATCTAATGAGAAATTGGTGTAATATTTGAAAAGGCTCAGCTTGTCTCTGTCAGATTTGTCTCTGTGAAGTAGCAGCATTTCAAACATTGGACAGGCATATTTGGATTAACAGCAAGAAACCAACATGTAAAATAGATTTAAAGCAGACGTGTTCCTCCCATTCCTTTAGTCAGAGAGTAATTCCACACCTCCTTCCACACTGCGCTCAAGTGTCCATCACTGACAGCCATAATGGTAATTACACAAGATTTATTTGTATTCACTCGAGTCTCTTCCGCTAATAGAAACAGAAGATAAGGAAGGGGAAATATCCAGTGCTTTAACAGTGCTGTTGAGCAGAAGTGGTCTGTTGAAAAGAGGCGGTGGTCTGGCACTAAAGGTCATTTAAAGGATATGTGAGGAAAACCGAGGAGGCAGAGCCATCACTCTATAGATCGTAGCTGAAGAAAAAGAGATCTGCTTCAATGGAAAAACAGGAATATTTCTAAAAAGAAGAGATGAAATCCTACATTTGTGAACCCCACTTGGTGGTTTCAGTTGCATTGCAGTATTGTTTTAATATATGAGGCCATTTATCTCTTTACACCTGATCCTTTATCTCTTCCTATACTTCCTGCTCAAGCCTGAGGCCATGAATTCAAGCATGAGGTGCAAAAGTAATAGAAATATAAGGCTTATTCTACCATTAAGGTGTTGAGAGTACATCAGTGTTATCTGATGGGAGCAAAAGCAACAAAATGAACATCAAACAAGACCTGTAAGTCATATCCTTTAGTAGCTCCTGTCTTGTTGCGTACACAGTGTACCCAGGATAGGAATTAAAGTGACAGCGCTTAAGGGAAAACTTCTGACCTTGTTTAACCCTGAATAATCATGCAGGGCATATTTTTGAACTGCGACAAAAAAGGAGGCGGATGATTTCTCCTATACGGCTGAACTGCACGCACTGGAGTGTTTGTCTAAGTTAAATAGGATCTCCGACATTACGCTGAGGTAATAAGAGAGAAAAGGCCAGTAGTTGCTTAGTCAATGAAAATATCACACTACTGAGACAGACGTTTAGAGGGAAGGAAGGTGCATCAATAGGACAGTATGAACTAAGATGGCTGGTTTTCTGGGGATTCTTGCCTTACCCTATATCTACTTCATAAGAAAAGATGAAGCAGCATCGTATGGAGGAGAGCAGAGGAAGTGGGGCAGAGATGGAAAGGGCAGGCAGTCAGCACCTTAGATCGGATAGCGCTTTGGTGGCTGGTGTACTGCTGCAGAGACGTGCAGCGTAGCACACAGATCCCAGTCTTTCTCGCTCTCTCTCACCCTTTCTCATTGCACAGAGGCTTATACGCACCTGCATTGCTTGCAGCCATCTTCAGCTACTTAATGCAGAGGTGCACTCCTTAAATTTGATGGCAGCCTCGCCCCTCCTGCCTGATCTCACATTCACCACGTGTCGCCACTGTTACAAAGAAAGCATTTGCTCGCATGCTGTCGATTTTACATCTCAGAGGGCACTTCAGGGTAATTTCATTTGTGGCTCGCCCAGAGGGGAGGGAGCTAAGACTTAAACAAGCAAGTTATTCAACAAAAAGCCACATCAGAGTCTTGCCTAAAGCTATTACAAAATAAACGGCCTCCCGATGGGTAAAAATATCACTTTCTAGGTTTTTTCACCTCCAAGACAGGTTGACAACATAAAAAAACAATGGTTTTCTTCAGCAGAAATAAGAAAATTATGTCAAATTAAGCCATTGGGTTGGGTGAAACCTTCTACTTTATGTCAAACAGCTGCCCATTGAATGATTGTAGCGACTGTATTAAGGCAGATTAACATTTCAAACTCGCCACTGTAAACGACTACTCCAATTCAAGTCCACATTGCTGGAATCTCTGCCATGTTCACTGAGTTTTGCAGACTTTAATACTAATAAACAATGCAGACACTGCTGCATTGCAGTTGAGTTATTTGTGGTAAAAGCAGGAGAAAAAAGGTAAATTAAGAAGGAACTTTAAAAACTATTGTTAATTATTAAACTGTGATTCAAGAGAAAGATTGTTCTGGGCCTTATGAAAAAGCAGGCTATTTACAAACCTCAGATATAAACATATTAAGGAAAAGCTTGGTGGAGGAAAAACTGAGGGAGAGAAAATGTGCTCAAACAAATAATAAGGCTTCTATTTCTCATGCAATAAAATTATTTAAGAGGAATACTTCTTCGATTTTTAAAATAGTGAGCATTTAGCATAAAACACACATCAGTTAAATGTTAAAATCCAAATTGGAATGCAATAATAAATAATGAGGCAGATCATCCAAATATCAGCAAAATCCAGAAAACTTACTGCAGCGTTTTGCCCTCTGAAGAACTCAAAGTTTTTACAGATAAATGAATAATCTCTGTGCATGTAAACCTAGAAGATTGTTAAACAAAATCTTAATCCAAAGAAAAAAATTTTTTAATAGGCTTTCATTTGAAATTTTACTTTTGAATGTGAATTAGAGAAACTTATTCTTTACCTAAAGATGTTGTGATTTCTTCATCATAGATTTGATCAGAGCTAAAATTCAGACAGGTTTATTTATCTGCTATGAGGATTATATGAAGTACATTGAGAGATATTTTTTCTTAGAAATCAACATTCAAATGTATGCAACGGTTACTTTATATGGAGGAGGAAATGAGGTGTAGGCGTTAAGTAAGAAAGGTGATGGAAGTGGGTCATCCTGGGAGAAATCCCAAAAGTCCCTTAAGAGAGTGGGACTTGCAGCCCATCCTGTTGTTTTTGGCTGTAATTTGTCACTGACTGGTACAGTGACACCTCCGGGTTCTGCATACATCAGATTCTCTCGTTGGATGAAAGAGAGCTGAAAGCATGCACACGTTTAATTGCATTTGTCGAACGCTGGGGTTGACGGGGCCCTTCTGCCGCTCTCGCCTGGCTGACAGCCATCTGCGTGATGGTCAGCGTTTCCTTATTACAAGTGGAAGTGAGGAGAATAACTTGGAGAGGACAGAGCAGAACTGGAACAATCAACACGCAGCGAGAGATTAATGGCTGCGCGCAAACATATGGTTGCTCTGACGCTGAAGACGTGTTTGGCATAACAGCTTATAGCCCATGAAAAGAGAGAGAAAAAATCTCTGCATTAGAAATAAGTCCCCAAAATGCCCCACTTTCCTCGTGCAAATGATCGCAATCAACAAACACTTTAATTCAAATACTGGAACAAACCCAACTCTAAC